TAAAATTTTTTCAAAAATATACAATAGAAAGACTATTATATCCCTCAATGCACTTTAAAAACATAACACAACTCACTTCCCTTTTTTTTTTCAAACAGCTAAATCTCAAACTATCAATCCTTTTTTTTTTTTTAAGAAAAGGAAAATTTTATTGATAAAAGAAACAATTACAAGAATCAAAGAACAAACTTGATTGAAAGAATACAAAAAATGGCTTTAATCATTCAAGATGATTAAAACCATTTTTAACTACTTTACTGCATCTTCTGATCTTCACATTCAGCTCCTGGAATCTGTCCAGCTACTGACAGATTCTGCTTCAAAGTGCATAGGTAGCAAGCATCTCCAACGCACAACATCACTCTGGCATCATCCCAGCAGTTATCCTCAAACCCTTCACAGCAGTGTAGCAGAAACGCAGCAAATACAGCCCCATTAAACTGCCTACTCTATTCAATATGCCTCCTGAACTGATTCTGCTAAAACACATCCAGCTGCAAGCAGTAACCCACAGACAGAAACCAAAGGTCATTACAAAAAGTATCAACCAATTACAAGAATCAAAACAGGAAAATCAGTTCCTGTTTTCCTGTTAAAAAAAGGGTTTCTGATTTTCTGTTACAAGCCAAAAAAAACAAAAACTGTTACAAAACAGAAAAAAATTTTTGTTACAATTGAGTAGAGAAAAAAAGCAAAAATTTTCCTCATAACAAGGATTAGCTTCCGTATACACATATATCTATGTATTTCATGTTCAACTCAAATGACAAAATAGTGTAATATTTCATATAGAACTGGGCAGTGGCTAAAGGTATTACATGGTGTTGTAGCAAAAAATACTTGTCCCACAAAAAATAACATGTGCCCTAACCCCTCCCAGACAAAAAATACTTGTCTCACAATAAATAACATATGCACATCTATACTTCTCCAAGATTCTGAACTCCAGCTGATTGAGCACCCCTGCCACATCCCTTTACCCCTCCCTCCATTGCAGTCGGATTTTCAACTGCGGTAACTTGGTAAGTTACCTGTGAGGCAGTAGAATGACTTTGTGATCCAGCTGTTTGTGATGTTGTTGGTCCTTCATTGTACTACATATTAGAAGACAATTAGAAAATTCATCAAGTGTATTCCAATGAAATAGGTAGGATGTTATTTACCTGACTGCTATTGGTCACACCACCATTCTTACCCTTCGTTTTAACTGGTGCTCTTTGACATGTTCTTTTGTTATGTCCAAGTTGTAAACAAATTTGACACCTTATTGTTTGGGACCTCCTCATGTCACTTGTACCAGCTGCTGGCTAATCTACACCTTTCCTTCTATTGGTCCTAGACCTTCCAGGCAGCCTGCCTGCGCAGGGGTGGAGGTTGTAGAGGTTTTGCCACTGGATCCCACATCTTCTGGTCCACAATTGGATGGATCATATCTCCATGAACAAGCAAATAAGTCTCTTTGGTGTAACTTCTGTGACAATACTTAATATTTTCTCATTAGGATCCTATTGCAGCTTTTGCATGAATGCAAGGAATCCCAGATATCTACCATTGTCTGCACATCCCAGTTGCCAAATTGACCGTATATCGTGTTCCCTCATGACTTATGTCAAATTCTAAGTTCCCAGCAAAATAATACAAGACACTTCATACTGTCCTGAACCACCTTTTTCAGTTGTATCTTAATGTTTTTGGTGACTAATCCCTCCCATGCACATCCTTTGTGGTACCTTTTTTGAAATCTCACCATTAACTTGCATCTAATTCCTTCCAAAAGAGTGCGTATTGACTTATGCGTATGCAGTCCAATCCAGTTGTTAAATGATTCACACATGTTATTGGTTATGTGGTCACTTTTCACAGATTCATCAAATGTGTGCCTAGCTCAGTACATAGCCCATGTATGTACTGGGACTTTCATAAGCCAATGATAAGCATTAGAATCATGTAATTTCATTAACTCCATGTTGTTCCTAAACCCTACCACATTATAGGCCCTAGCAGCCCTCCAAATTTTTTTTTTAAGTAATAGTCCGGGGAACTTGGACTTGAAATTATTGAAGAGATGCACAAAACATCTCCTACGCTTAGCTCCTAGGAAAATCTTCTCAAACACTTTATCAAGTCCCTAAAAACAGAATAATAAGAAACAGAACAGAAAAATAAGAAATAGAAACAAAAAGAGAAACAAAAACACCGAAACAGAATACCTTCTGATCGTCAGACATAAAGGTCCATGGTTGGGACCTGTCCCCAGCACCAATAACTGCATGCAGATTGTCTAGAAACCACCCCCAGCTCTCCATTCTCTCACTTTCAACGATTCCAAATGCCACTGGGAATAATCCTTTATTCCCATCCAGTGCTACTGCAGCTACAAGAACCCCACCATATGGCCCTTTGAGGTGACAACCATCAACACCAATGAAAGTTCTACAACCTTCTCTGAACCCATTCTTTATGGTACCAAATGAAATGAAAAATCTCTTGAAACTGGGATTAACACTCACTGAAGGCTTAAAGTAATCAATAAGTGCAATAGAACCAGGGTTACTTTTCAAAACTTTTCTAACATAGGTTGGTAGTAACTCAAATGTATAGCTATGATTACCCTCTATTGTTTCCATAGCCCTCATTTTTGCCCTATAAAGCCTACTACCATTACTTTCAATTTCCCATCGATCATTCAATTCAGATTGTATACTCTCCAATGTTATCTTTGGGTTGTTCTTGATGATCCCCTGTAACTGTTTAGCAATCTAGGTGTTGTTTGCCTCATCCACTTTCCTATACCTAATACAGTTATGCTCAACTTTGTAACTATTCACCTTAAATGTAGCCTGATTCGGAAGAGGTAATGCATGGATCCTCCATTTGCACCCTTCAACAGCACAATGCATTGTGACTCTAGTCCTCTTATTTTTCTTCCTAATCACTTTGATCCCTTTTTTAATGATATAGTCTCTTAAAGCATTCCTAAAAAGATCAACATTCTCAAACAACATCTCCACACGGAAATCCCAGTCAGAGTTTCCACCATTCTCAACATGAAACTCTGTCTCATATTCAGATGAATCATACACTTTGGATTTCTTCTTTCGCTTGTTACCACCATTCATATTCTCTACATCATCAGAAACATTACTACTCCTACCACCTGCATTCCCAGATTGATAATCTGAGAAACCATCACTTCTTGCATCCCATTCTTCACATGTGCTAATTGGCCCAACATATTGGTAATCATTCCTAGAATCGGGAACATCATCACCCTTGCCTCTCCAATCCTCATCCTCAGAACTAAAATCATATACATCGTCCTCCTTATCATTATCTCCCACACTCAAATTGAACATTTGCAACACCTGTTTCTACATTTCCAACCTTAGATTCTACATTTATACCACTATGGACAACTATATCATGCTCAAATTCACCCCTTTTTTTTCCAGAACCTAATTAATTCAACCCAAATTTCAAAAATAAAACCCAACTAAAATTTTACATCAAACCAAAATTCAATAAACGAAAAAAACATTGCATAAAAGGCATAATACTTACTGATGGCTGCAAGAGAATCAACGTCCAATAGGTGTCACTTGTAGGTGACGTTGATGTTCTCCCTAATGACGGTGAGTGCTAAAATCTCACAACACATCTGTATAAAACATTAAACTGAGTTACAAGAGTAGAGTGTGCAAATTTGTGAGTAGAGTGTATAAAATTCGTGGAATGTGACTAGAGTGTACAAAATTCGTGGATTCGTATAAAATCATGAGTAGAGTGTGAAAATTCGTGGAATGTGCAACCATCCTAAAAAACCCAAAAAGTAAAGATCTACAAAAAATGCCAATTTACGACCTATCCCGAACCCAAATAATTGTCCAAAAATTTAAAGGGCAGTTGTGCTATCAGGACTAGGCATTTCAAACACCCAAAAGCGATCAAAAGTACTATAAAGTAAATTAAAGTACTGTTCAGAGATAGCACCCTTAAGAACATAAACAAGAAAAAAGCTAACGCCCAATAGGTGTTTAAGCTAACGCAAAATGGAAAATTAATTCCCAGTAGGTGTTTAAGGGTGTTTAAGCTAACGCCCAGTAGGTGTTTAAGCTAACACCTAGAAAGAAAAAAGCTAACGCCCAGTGCAAAATGGAAAATAACTTCAAGCATAGCCACAAAAGTATAGCAAAAAGCTAAACAAACCATTCTATATGCCTCTAGCAGAACAGATCCTAAGAAAACCCAAACAAACACCGCAACAACACAACCAATAAGGAGAAAGGGGCTTGCAGTGCAAAAGACTCATCAATGAGGTCAGATACGAGAATAATGAAGGATCCGAGTTTGAGTTCGGCATCAACACCCAGTAGGTTTCGCTGGTAGGTGTCGCTTCAACTTGTAGGGTTAGATCTCTGGCGGAGCAAATACATTGTGGAATTTAGGGCTTTTGAGTTCGAGAGGTGATGAGATCTGTGGGGATTGGGGAAAGAAAGAGACTATGGGGGAATCGGGAGGAAGAGGAAGAGTAAGAGTAAGGTTTCGATTTGAGGTGAGAAGGGGGGAGCAGATCCTCTGTTGTTGGGAGGAAACCGCATGACATGCGGTTAAGTGGAACGGCGGCGTTTCACTTGTTTTTGCAAAATTTTTTTATTCACGCTTACCAAAACGACATCGTTTTGGTCCTCCTTCAAATTCCAGATTTGCATATCAGATCCCTTCTTCTTCTTCATGTGTGTGTGTGTGTGTGTGAGAGAGAGAAAGGTCAATGAAAACATGGATAAAAAATCCATCTTTTTCTTTTGTAACTAGAGGATATAATTTGGATTTCTATATGTACAAGATGTGTGAAAGGACTTACAAGAAGTGTTCTTTGGATGATTTTGGCTTTTTTCTTAGGTATTTGAGGAGGCTTACAACCTTTCATGGCCATAAAATCCTCCTCTTTCTCTTTGCTTGAACATCCAATATGCAACTTTGGCCAAACAAGAGCTTTATTATCATCCCCTCCTTGTCCTCCACCACCTTCCACTGAAAACCTTCCCATTCTCCTCCAACCCCACCACTGACCCTCTCGTCGTATAAAACCTCTCTTCCTTCTTCGGCGATGTTGATGACTTTCGATTCTCCGCCAGAGTCTTAGAATTCTTGTAACTAAGACATACCCACATCAGAAATTCTCTTATTATATCAATTTTCTGGGAAAATTTGGGAGAAAAAAAAAAGGTTTGGGATTTTATTGTTTTTGTGATGGTACCTGGTGAGATAACTGGGTGGTGGAGGAAAAGAGGTCTCTTTCTGGGAAAGAGTGAGAAAGCGAGATGAGATTTTCTAGCGGATTCTGCCACTGTTTGATGGGTCTGAGACATCTGGGTCTCTCACCCTCACACATCTGAGTCTCTTCCTATTACCCCATTGTAAAAACAAATCTGTTTCTGGTGGCTTACAGGGTCTTTGATTCTTCTCTTCCTTCTCCATATTTTCCAAAAACAAGCAGAAGATATGAAATTATCTCACAGACCCATTTGAGTTTTCCTCAACAACTCAAAAAAGAATCAGAGCATGAGAGGTAGGAGAGAGAAATTTCAGTTAAATAACCTCGAGATCTGAGTTTGGCTGAGAAATTAGAGCAAATTCTTAATGAAGTGCCCTACAAATTGAAAGGATGAAACATTAGATGTATGGGAGCAGATCTTCTGCTGTTGGGAGGAAACAGAGATAGAACATACGTTGTTAATAGAGATAGAGCATAATTCTAAGGTCGTTTTAGTAAACCTGAAGTGTGCCTGAAGTCGGAGCTGCCTGAGGTTGTCAAAGTTGCCTGAAATCGCCGAAAGAGGGGTGCAGATCGTTGGATCTGCTGATGTCACAAGGCCTCACTGTTCAAGACTAACGAAGAAGATGGGATCTGATATGCAAATCTGGAATTTGAAGGAGGACCAAAACGACGTCGTTTTGGTAAGAGTGAATAAAAAAAAATTACAAAAACAAGTGAAACACCGCCGTTCCACTTAACCGCATGTCACGCGGTTTCCTCCCAACAGCAGAGGATCTGCTCCCGTGAGAAGGGTTAGCGGCTATAGGCAAACAACGGTTGTAGAAGGGTTTTCATTTCTCTCTCTCTTTGTGGCAAACGATGGGCTGTACAGGTGTTTTCATTTTTTAGGGTTTTGTTAGTCAGATGGATATTTATATCATTTTATACATTGGGGTTTGATTGACAATATTATAATTCAATAAAATGAGGGTTATTTTTGTCATTGCATAATTTCTTAACTCCGATTATAATAAGGGGTGCCACCGTAATTAATAAAATGTGAGGGGGCGTTCGTGCATTAAGACAAAACACAGGGAATCCGAATATTTTTTACCCAAAATTCAATAGTTCAAGGGCAAACTAAAATCGAGTTCATTCTGTAATTTGCCCTTATTTTTCAGTTGATACATGAATTCAAATCGAATTGAAGGGAAATGATTGTAATACCTCATAATAAAGTTTGATTTGAATTCCTAGTTCTAAATATTTATTGTTGACGAACTATAACAATTGCACCTATTAAAGCAACTAAAAGAATTATTGAAATGAGTTCAAATGAAAGCAAAAAATCTGTTAATAAATGAATCTCAATTTGTTGACTATTACTTATCAAATCTTGCTCTATAATTTGATTTGATTTTGTAGTCCAAATAATCTCATGCCATGACGTATCTGGAATAGTATTCATTAGTGAAACAAAAAGACTTGTACAAACTATCAAATTAACTGCATCCCCAACAGTCTAAAGATGAAAATCTTTGTAATATTTTGAATAGTTCATGAACATTATTGCAAAAATGATTAAAACATTTATATCTCTTACATAAATAACAAGTTGTGCATCGGCTCCAAAAATGGAAGTTCGATAGAATATAGAATAAGGATATACAAACAAGAACCAATCCTATTGAAAAGGCATAACAAATAAGTGAAAATCAATCTAAATTGTATCTCACAAGCTGTTCAATCGGGGAGTTCGATCTTCGCAATTTTAAATTTTGTCAATTTTGATCTAAATTTGAAAAGTCGGAAAAGATTGTTTGATATGAGGCATTTAAATAAATTGGGTGGATGCTTTAACAATATAAGAGCATTTTTAATAAATTTTTCATTCTCACTCAATTCTCAATTTTAGAAAATCAAATTTTAAAATTTAATCTCCAATGGACTATCCATTTAGGCTCTCTAAAATAGAGTCTAATTTGGCTCTCTCTATTTGGAGAGTCAAACTAATTTTCTACTCTATTTTTTTAGACTAGAAAAATAGTATATTTGTCTTTTCATCCAAAAATTTCAATATAAATATATCTCAGCTACATTAAATCCACTTCTTCCTTTGGTTTGAACCTCCGATGGATTCTTGAAGAAGCAAAATTTGTCTCCATACTCTACAAGCACAACATCAAGATGTGACTATTATATTATTGCTTCAACTTGTTTCTTTTGTTGATTAATTGACATTCTAGGGATTATATTCCGCATCAAACACTTTCGATTGGTGGCCATTCCTCAACTCGTTCACCGGTATGTGTGTGTATATATATATATATTAAATAAAAGAATGAAAGTAAAATGGGAGGAAAGCCAAATTTAATCCTAAAAATAATAAAATATAAAAGGATAAGAATAAGAGTCGTATTGGAGTGGTGTTTAAATATTAACTATTGGAAAATTTTGAGGCCAGTATCTCTATATAGACTTGTTTGAACTTAAGTCCGATAAGNGGGATTATATTCCGCATCAAACACTTTCGATTGGTGGCCATTCCTCAACTCGTTCACTGGTATGTGTGTGTCTATATATATATTAAATAAAAGAATGAAAGTAAAATGGGAGGAAAGCCAAATTTAATCCTAAAAACTAATTAAATATAAAAGGATAAGAATAAGAGTCGTATTGGAGTGGTGTTTAAATATTAACTATTGGAAAATTTTGAGGCCAGTATCCCTATATAGACTTGTTTGAACTTAAGTCCGATAAAGAAACTTATTTGTTATGAAGTATATTTTTTATTAATTTACTAGACTATCCATTCCTTTTAAAAATGAAGTAAAATTAAACATTAAAAACTCATAAATTTTAGGATTTTGATTAACATTAATTTTTTTTTCTCTCTCTCNCTTTTAAAAATGAAGTAAAATTAAACATTAAAAACTCATAAATTTTAGGATTTTGATAAACATTAATTTTTTTTCTCTCTCTCATATATATATATAGTAACATTAAAAATAAAAAATAGTAACATGTAAATATAAGTAACATGTTCAACAAAAATAACAACATGTTCAATTAAAATAGTAACATGTTGAACAAAAACAATAATATACTTAACAATAATTATCNGTAACATTAAAAATAAAAAATAGTAACATGTAAATATAAGTAACATGTTCAACAAAAATAACAACATGTTCAATAAAAATAGTAACATGTTGAACAAAAACAATAATATACTTAACAATAATTATCCCTCTCAAATTCAAATACAAAAAATAGTATAATTCAAACATAAAAAATAATAATATTAAAAAAAAAAGGTAACATTGAATATTAATATTTAGAAAAATAATAGTGATAATATGCTTAAAATAATAGTAACGTGAACGATAACATACTCAACAAAAATAGTAATGTAATAAAAAAAATAGTAACATGAAACATTCAATTTAACAAATCAACTCCTACCAAAATATCACAAATTATAAAAAACAAAAAATTAATAACAATGACCAGAGATTCTCATCAATTACTCACAAAATTGACATATCTCATAAAAAATTAAAAGAAAATGAACTTAGAAAAAAAACCAAAAGCATAATCGACAAAAAAGTGAAATAACCGATGTTCAAAATCAATCGACCACCATTATCGTACCCTAACAACTTTAACTAATTAAATTTAACCAAACTTAATTTCAACTACTAATGCATCACAAGGAATCAAGTTCTGTAGAGAGAGAGAGGGGGGGGGGACCAACAAGATCATGCTAAGCACTTATAACTTTGTGCATATCGACAAGTTGCTCACATATGGTAGCATAGACTGAGATCTACCGCCTTAAAAGCTCCATCTACTCATCCATTATCACTTGGACATACATCTCGTTGTGAGGTGGATTGGGTTTTGAGCAGAGAAGTTGGACATTGATGAAATAGTTTCCTCGATGGAGGAGAGAGATGAACGGAGATGGCGACAACATCGCCATTAGCTAGCTAGAGAAAGAGAGAGAGTTCTGAATTTGAATTTTAAATCTATGATGAAGATTTTATTGACATATTTTAATTGACATTAAATTAAGGGATAACAATTTTTAAAATAGGAAATTAATTTAACATCTTTTAAAGGAAAAATATTTTTTGAGATTTAAAAAAATAGTGAACTTAAGTATTTATTAGTAAGATAAAAAACAGACTTATCGCCAAACAAATTTTCTTGACGGATTCAAGTCATTATAAGTCTATCCGGGAGGACTTCACCCCAATCTTCACTTAACTATATTTATTTTTAACTTTTTTAACAAAAGATATTTTATATTTTAGACAAATATACGCTCTAAAATAGAGAGCACTGTTGGATATGCTCTAAGGTACACAACTGCGAATGATAGCATTGAGAGTTGAGGCTGTTAAAAAAATCGGGTTAAAATGGTAAAAATTAACAATGTTATTGAAACCTAAAAAACTAATATAATCTAGTATAATTAGCAAAAGATAGAATTCTAATAAAGAAGTTTAATAGTTACCGTAACTACTTGGCTTGCTAATAAATAGAATTTTAATCGGAATTAGATTCAAATATAAATTCGATTAGTTAGATATAAATTGATATTTTTTTAATAGATTATCTAAACTCGAATTCGAATCTGATATTTTATATTTTTATGAATTCAAATTTGGATATACCTATATCTGATTTGATTCAAATTTTTATATATTTTGTATAAATATTAAAAAAATTAAGGAATTATTCGAAAAAATTTAGTTAAATTAATTCGGAACAGATCAAAATTTCAATTTATTAATGAATTCAGATAAAAATCACAAAAAAAATTACCAGATCGAATTCAGGACGTGATTCTAAAGTTAGAATTTGATATATATCGGTAAGAACATAATTTGTTAACGGTCTTGATCACTACAATAATATTATTAAATTATATCACTCTTATATTGTCATATCGACAAATTAGACCAATTTTTGAAATCTCCATAACATTACATTATTAAAAAAGAAGAAAAAAAAAAAAAAACAAAGTATACTATGATTTCCTTTTTCCCACTGAGACTTTTCTCTCCCTCCAATTCTTCCCTCCAGCACTAAAACCCATTGATACAGAGGGAAAAAGAGCAAAATTCATTTTACACTAGAAAGTAAAAATTAAATTTTTTTGTGAGGTTTGAACAAAGAATGGGGAAGGACGAGGATGAGATGAGAGGAGAGATAGAGGAGAGACTGATAAACGAAGAGTACAAGATTTGGAAGAAGAACACTCCGTTCCTTTACGATTTGGTCATCACCCATGCGCTTGAATGGCCCTCTCTCACCGTCGAGTGGCTTTCCGACCGGGAAGAGCCTCCCGGAAAAGACTACTCCGTTCAAAAGATGATTTTGGGGACTCATACATCCGAGAATGAGCCTAATTATCTCATGATCGCTCAGGTCCAGCTTCCTCTCCAGGATGCTGAGAATGATTCGCGCCATTATGATGATGACCGGTCAGATTCCGGCGGTTTCGGTTGCGCCAACGGCAAGGTATAATCGCAGCTTATGATTTTTCGGGTTTCGTAGGTTTTGATTGAATACTGTTTATTTTAATCTTTTTGTTGAATTGGGTCGTGATTATTTTGAGTAAACATGAATCTTTCTTGCTTTATGCAAAAAAAAAANATGCTAAGCACTTATGACTTTGTGCATATCGACAAGTTGCTCACATATGGTAGCATAGACTGAGATCTACTGCCTTAAAAGCTCCATCTACTCATCCATTATCCCTTGGACGTACATCCCGTTGCGAGGTGGATTGGGTTTTGAGCAGAGGAGTTTNGACTGAGATCTACTGCCTTAAAAGCTCCATCTACTCATCCATTATCCCTTGGACGTACATCCCGTTGCGAGGTGGATTGGGTTTTGAGCAGAGGAGTTTGACATTGATGAAATAGTTTCCTCGATGGAGGAGAGAGATGAACGGAGATGGCGACAACATCGCCATTAGCTAGCTAGAGAAAGAGAGAGAGTTCTGGATTTGAATTTTAAATCTATGATGAAAATTTTATTGACATATTTTAATTGACATTAAATTAAGGGATAATAATTTTTAAAATAGGAAATTAATTTAACATCCTTTAAAGGAAAAATATTTTTTGGGATTTAAAAAAATAGTGGACTTAAGTATTTATTAGTAAGATAAAAAACAGACTTATCACTAAATAAATTTTCTTGACGGATTCAAGTCATTATAAGTCTATCCGGGAGGACTCCACCCTAATCTTCACTTAACTATATTTATTTTTAACTTTTTTAACGAAAGATATTTTATATTTTAGACAAATATACGCTCTAAAATAGAGAGCATTGTTGGATATGCTCTAAGGTACACAACTGCGAATGATAGCATTGGGAGTTGAGGCGGTTAAAACAATCGGGTTAAAATGGTAAAAATTAACAATGTTATTGAAACATAAAAAATTAATATAATCTAGTATAATTAGCAAAAGATAGAATTCTAATAAAGAAGTCTAATAGTTACCGTAACTACTTGGCTTGCTAATAAATCGGATTTTAATCGGAATTAGATTCAAATATAAATTCGATTAGTTGGATATAGATTGATATTTTTTTAATAGATTATCTAAACTCGAATTCGAATCTGATATTTTATATTTTTATGAATTCAAATTTGGATATACCTATATCTGATTTGATTCAAATTTTTATATATTTTGTATAAATATTAAAAAAATTAAGGAATTATTCGAAAAAATTTAGTTAAATTAATTCGGAACAGATCAAAATTTCAATTTATTAATGAATTCAGATAAAAATCACAAAAAAAATTACCAGATCGAATTCAGGACGTGATTCTAAAGTTAGAATTTGATATATATCGGTAAGAACATAATTTGTTAACGGTCTTGATCACTACAATAATATTATTAAATTATATCACTCTTATATTGTCATATCGACAAATTAGACCAATTTTTGAAATCTCCATAACATTACATTATTAAAAAAGAAGAAAAAAAAAAAAAAAACAAAGTATACTATGATTTCCTTTTTCCCACTGAGACTTTTCTCTCCCTCCAATTCTTCCCTCCAGCACTAAAACCCATTGATACAGAGGGAAAAAGAGCAAAATTCATTTTACACTAGAAAGTAAAAATTAAATTTTTTTGTGAGGTTTGAACAAAGAATGGGGAAGGACGAGGATGAGATGAGAGGAGAGATAGAGGAGAGACTGATAAACGAAGAGTACAAGATTTGGAAGAAGAACACTCCGTTCCTTTACGATTTGGTCATCACCCATGCGCTTGAATGGCCCTCTCTCACCGTCGAATGGCTTTCCGACCGGGAAGAGCCTCCCGGAAAAGACTACTCCGTTCAAAAGATGATTTTGGGGACTCATACATCCGAGAATGAGCCTAATTATCTCATGATCGCTCAGGTCCAGCTTCCTCTCCAGGATGCTGAGAATGATTCGCGCCATTATGATGATGACCGGTCAGATTCCGGCGGTTTCGGTTGCGCCAACGGCAAGGTATAATCGCAGCTTATGATTTTTCGGGTTTCGTAGGTTTTGATTGAATACTGTTTATTTTAATCTTTTTGTTGAATTGGGTCGTGATTATTTTGAGTAAACATGAATCTTTCTTGCTTTATGCAAAAAAAAAATAAAAAATTTGCTAGTATTTGCTGTAACTTGAAGTAATAATATTGGGTTTAGGTGTAAATTTGTTGCTTTGATAGTGAACTTGATCAATATATGTATGCTTTAGCTGTTTGACACTGTGCAAAGCTAAGATCGGACTATGGGGGTTGATTGGTCGCCAGTTATATGGATATGTGAATTATTGACAACAAAGTTATAGTTTGATTTTGGGTGGTCAAGTCAAAGAACCAGCTGATAATTTGGTATTAAGGTTGTTGAATGTTGCATAAATGATCATATTTCTTTTTTAAATAAAACTGTTAAATTCTTTCTGGAGAAAAAGATTAAAGAGGACAGTGAATGATGTTCTTATCAAAAAAGGAGAGTGAAGGATGTCTATCTTTATAGAGCTGATTTTCCAGTGACTTGTTCCAATATTAAATTAAAATCAAATTATGCATCTACATACACAAATTTCATCTTATCTTATATCGTTAGGATGAGTTGCACTTCTCCCCATCTTGTTTGATAACTGATCTAAAAAGTGAACTAGACTCCGTTAGCAGTAATGACAAGATGTCTTGAATACCTCTGTCTCTTCTGTTTTTTATCTAGAAAGCAAGCTTTATATCACAAAGACAGAAGCTGACTGCAGAAGGGAAAAATACAGCTGTTACAACTTAGTTTGTCAATTTCTAATGTGATATTTCACAACAATATATCAAATTCCCAACTAGTTTTGCTAATAGTAATAAAAAAACTAACATAAGGAAACAATTACAACTACAGAAAACAAAAAGTTCTCAAATTTAAGGGAGCCGAATTGTTCCAAAAAGAGCTGGCCTATTAGTGTGGCTGGAACTGGATATTCAGAGCATGTACTGTGGAGAAATAGTTTTCAAGAGAGAGAGAGCCTATTCTTTTGGTCTCAAACTGATTGTCGGCAATTATTTAACACTTAAGCGATGATAGCTCTTTATTGTTGTCTTTTTTTTTGCATCAATAGAAAGAAAGCAAGTTTCAGAGTTTAGAAAATTTTGCACTTTACAGTGACTACCTGGATATATTCTATTTAAAAAGTGAACATAATTTTGAAATCTTGAAGAAAAATTAAGAAATTGATTATAGTTATTTATCTTTGGAGGACTAGTGCTTATGAATTCAAATTTTTGTTTCTTAAATGCATTATTTTGTGGTTAGTCTCAGTGAAACGCAAAGATGAGGTAGGCTTTTCACTTCGGTTCATAGGGTCAGCTAAAGTCATTTCTATCTGTTGACTTGATAAGGTGGATCATGCACGCTGTCATATTCTGTCCCTTGAACATATCCCATGGCTCATGAACAAAATAAGAAATGTGAAAAACAACAAAAATAAAAAAAGTATGCCCATCTAATGCGTTGGGCATGCATGTGTAAGTGAGTGATTGGTGCTGAGGCTGCTTTCCTAGGCTAGCCGCTTGTTGCCTAGTTGCGCGCTGGATCGTGCCTTTAACAGCACTGATTGCAGATATTGTCAATGTGCCTTTTGTCCTTAGATCTATCAATCAAAAAATTATTATGTATGTCTCATAATCATACATATGCGACGTGGAGAGCAGAAAAAGTAAATGAATTGGCAGTCCCATACAGGTTTCTCAATCGTTTTCCTTTATCTTCTTGAGTATTTAATATTTGATTGTTTTGCAGGTGCAAATTATCCAGCAAATAAATCATGATGGAGAGGTTAACCGGGCTCGTTACATGCCCCAAAACCAATTTATTATTGCCACTAAGACCGTTAGTGCAGAAGTGTATGTTTTTGATTATAGTAAACACCCATCTAAGCCTCCTTTAGATGGCGCATGTAGTCCTGATTTGAGGTTGAGGGGCCACAACACTGAAGGATATGGTTTGTCATGGAGTCAGTTCAAGCAGGGTCATTTATTGAGTGGTTCTGATGATGCCCAAATTTGCTTGTGGGACATCAATGCAACTCCAAAGAATAAGGCTCTAGATGCCATGCAAATATTTAAGGTATGTATTACATTTGTGTTGGATGTATTTTATATTGTATGATGCCCATCCACCTCATACACAAGGAGACATGACTATTTAACTTGCCTAAATAACTAAAACATATGTCGAATAAATGCAGGCTTGCAAGTAACTTAACCTGATGTTATGTTTGAATTAGCTCCTTGCGCAGAGGAAATCAACTTATTATTATGATAAGAGTATGGAATGCAAAACATTCTAGAATTCTCATTAAGGCATGGGAACATTGAAATTACATGTCTATTTTCCTGCGTGAAAGTCAATGCACAGAAAACCAGAAATCTTAAACTTTGATTATTTTTCTGTAGATGCATACCATGTTATTTGTAGTTCTTTTGACTAAGATTTGATATTTTCCGGGAAAAGGTTCATGAAGGTGTCGTAGAAGATGTGGCATGGCATCTGAGGCATGAATACTTATTTGGTTCAGTCGGGGATGATCAGTATCTGCATGTATGGGATCTCAGGACTCCTTCAGTCAGCAAGCCAATCCAATCTGTAATTGCTCATCAAAGTGAGGTGAGTATCAGAGTCTCACAACTTCCTTGTATATCGACTAAAATATATGCTTAGATTCATAGTGCAAAAATTGAGGGTGAGCCTTGGCGTATCTTACTCCATTTTTTACTTGGGTGTCACGAGATTGAGTCATGAAAATAGCATATCTGCCCACGGGGTAAAGTTATATTTGACCCCCCCCGACCCGCAGAAGTGGGAGACTTGTGCATTGGACTGACTTTTTTTACTTCTTGAACAACAGTAGAAGCTTTTGCCAGATTCAAGTTTTCAGTTATTCCTGAATTCTTCTCATAGGCAGTGAAGTCCATATTCTTTGATACTCCCATTCTTATTTGGTGATCTACTCCAAACATTGTTAGGTGGATGCTTATAGTCTTTTACATGTGTAAGTGGGGAATCATAATGAAAACGTTTCATGCATGTGGCTCAAATGTAGGAAAATATTGAGACCCATCGTCTATGCATATCCAGAGGCAAAGGCTTATCCTTTTTGTTTGAGCTAGATTGTCTTCAGAAGTGTAGTTGCTGTTACACAACACAACTTAAGAGAGTTGGAGTTACCAGATACATCATTCAAAATTTATATCTTTTTATAGCAGATGAAGTTTGATCTTTGGTGAAGGTCCTGCAACCAGCCTCAACTTAGCCCCCTTTCATCCATTTTGACCTGATGGGTGATCCCTTATAACCCCCCTAGACTTCTAAAAGGTCAATGAAATAATATGAATGGGTAAAGTGGAATGCTGTAGGATTCTTCTTGCTCTAAATCCTCAGTATTGGTTTACAAAAGGTTCTCTTAAGATAATCATGTCCCATTTCTTAGGGGCAGAATTTTTGGTACATTTATCAAGATTGGTATACTTACTGGTTGATAACGTTGGCATGTTGCAATAGTCCTGTTTTGGTTCTGATGCTTGAGAAAACTTGTGCATCACGTTTTGTGTATGTGTATGTGTATGTGCGCATGTATGCGGGTGTGTTGGATTTCAACCTTATTTTGGTCCTTTTTGATACCACTGCCAGAAATGTATCTGAATTTCTACTAGTATATCTAACCAGTTACAGTTTCGTTGCCTTTTGTCTATGATGAATTGTATGAGACCCAACAAGGGGAAACACAATCACTGAGTTATTGAAAAAAGCAATCTTCCAAATTTCAGGTTTCATATTTGCAGTTAAGTAATATAATGCTCGTGCCACATGGGATCTCTGCTCATGAAGTTTTTGTATTGTATCACATATATCAAGCTCAATTTAGGGTTGTTCATCTCTTTCTTTTTCTTCTTCTTTCTTTGGTTTTGTTTTTGTTTCAGGAACATTGAGGGTATAAACACATGGGACATGGTGCCCCTATCAAGTATCAAAATTTTGTTTCGGTGCATAGTTTCGGTCAACTTGAAAATGAAAATGTGTCGAAAGTGTTTTGGAAACATTCGGAAACATGATGGAAACAAAGGAAAAAATAGAAATTTGTTGGCGAAACATTTCGGAATTAAAACACATCGAAACATATTGAAACGCGTTAAAACATACCACAACACCAAGAAACATAAGAATTGCGATATTTAATCATTAATTCATTTTGGTTTCCACAGAAATAGAAATGTTTTGGCCGTTTCAAGCTAAATTTAGTTTCTTGGTACCAATTCGCATACAGTAAACTTGGGGTGGGGTTATTGCGAGTGTGTGAGCTGGGAGATTGAGTGAGATAAGTTTTTTTACAAAGAACTTGTTAATTATTAATTTGTTTTGAAGTTGTTCGCCGCTACATTCACACCTTAATCTTATGTATATTTAATCATTTTGGTGATTGCAGTTCAGATTATATGTATGCTTTTCCACCATGACATTGGATATTGTAATTGTTATGTGTCACTTTGTACAGTATGCCATGATTGGTCTCCAAGAACATATTTTGTCTGCGTGTCATAGATATTAGTGACCTAATTTTACATGTATATAGTATTGGAAGGTTGGATAATGTTCTCCATCTGTTGGCCTTAGGCAGGTGTTTTAATCTCTTGCTTATTCTACCCCACCCATACCCCCCAAATAAAAAATGGAGAAGAGAAAAGAGTAGAAGAGAAAAATTATCCATATATTAAACAGCAATATTATTTTGTTATGCATGGTTTTGATGCTTGCAGTGCTACATACATTTCATTTTGAACTTACCTTTCCTAATGCTAGAGGTGAGACTTTATGAGGTGAGTGTTGTTCTAATATACTAGTAGTGTGTTTGTGGTAGGTTAACTGCTTAGCTTTCAATCCTTTTAACGAATGGGTTGTAGCTACGGGGTCTACAGATAAGACCGTTAAGTTATTTGATTTGCGCAAGATCTCCAATGCTCTCCATACCTTTGATTGTCACAAGTAAGTATTCTTCTCCTTGGACTCCAATAATTTTCTCGTTTGGGATATATTACTGGAATCCTTAGAGCCCTTGAGCATATACTATGCAGCGGTGGTACGTGAGGATACATAGAACATATATTTTCATATACAAGATGTTCTTAGTTTTTGATGGACTTCATTTCTTCTATGCTGTACAACAGGGAGGAGGTTTTCCAAGTTGCGTGGAGTCCCAAGAATGAGACCATTCTTGCTTCTTGCTGTCTCGGTAGGAGACTTATGGTTTGGGATCTTAGCAGGTACTCAATTGAACCTGCAGTTACCTTTTTCTTTTTTTTTTTGATATCAGTGAGTGGATGGTTTTATTTGGGTGGAATCCGAAGAAGGAGCAAAGGCAAGTGCTTCTAATATTAAGAGAACAGCTGACTTAGAAACAAAAGCTACGAGTGAATTGCTTGGGACATCATTGAAGCATATGCCAGAGCAAATTACCAAAAGATTTTCTTGTTTTTCTTTTTTCCTTTTTTCTTTGTGTTTGATTTTGGATATCCATTTTTTGTGCTCAAGTTTTTTTTTTTTTTCGTGCTCAAGTTTGAGGCTGGGCAATTTGGAAAGAGAACTAGAATATAGGGGTAAATTTCACCCAGACTTTTGACATTTGACGGAAGTACAGGGACTTCCTCTTTCATTTAGAAATGACAGTGACACTTATAGTTGGACAGCATGAACGATTTTAACAAATAGATGTTTTTACCGCTTGTTTAGCGGGTCAAAATTAAATGAACAAAACGTAATTGGACTATTATCTGTGCCATTGCCTGCATAGAGAGCCCCAAATTTCCCTTATCCCTAGTCCAATTCTCACAACCCTTAACCAGATCACCCTCCACTCCTCCTCTTCCTCGTCCACCCATCTCCTAACCCCCTAGCACCTCCACCTTGGTGACCCTTCTTCTTCCCCCTTTTTCGCTCTTGCACCCACAATACACAATCAAACAGAACCCCTTCTGATGGAAACACCTTCGCAAAAAAAAAAAACCACACCAGACATTGCTCCTTTCTACTATGTTTTCTTGAAACTTCAATGAATAGAAACCAGAAACAGTTCTTGATGCCTCTCTCTCTCTCTCTCTCCTCCATTGGCCTACCCCAACATGTGAAACCATGAGTTAGAGGCTCAGCTCCCAACCTAACCGCAACCCCATTTGAATCTTTGTGGCACTAGCCTCCCCTGCCATTTACAGGCCTCTCTCCTCTCTCACTTCTATACAACCACCAGAGCCTACCCTTGGCCCACATTTTCTAGCATCCACCCTATCTCCTCCAATCACCAGAGACGTCATTCCCATCACTAAACCTCTCCGCCTCTACCTCCAATTTCTCACAACCCAATCTTGTCTCATCTCTAATGCCAGCGCACCTGTTGCATGCCGTCCATGATGTTTATCTCCATCATTGTCGTCCTCCACCTACCCCCTACCTTTGTAACATTTTCGGTCTAAGCCACATAATCCTCTGCTAGGACTCGGTCAACTAAGCTTTGGTTTACAAACTGAAGGTTGCAACCCACTTATGGTTCAATCACAACTTGAAATTGCTAGTATGTGGGCGATTGAATTGAGCAAATTGTAATGTGGATTTGCTGTGGAGTTGATTTGAAACTTTTATTGGGTTGATTCTGATTTATTGGATAGTGGTAGTAGAAGCATCTCTCTTCTAGTCCAGTGGTGTATGGAGGTGCAGATTAATGGACAACTTGTTTTTGACATGTTGTTGATGTGATGGAGGTGGTGGGGATTTTGGTTGATCTAGTGTTTCAGTTGCAGAGGAGTTGATAAAACTAATTCCCTTATTTTGCAATTAATAGTAAAATTTGATGATTTATTATGTAATTGAGTATCAAAATTATATTTAATCATGAACTGTATTTTTAATGTGAAAAAATAAATAGGTACTAAAATTACATTTGATTGAAACGAGGAAATTATTGTAATTAATATGGTTTCAAATTGTGTTTAGAATGTGGTGAATTTTTTTTTTTAGGGACATTTGGTCTTGTAGTAACTATTAATCTTAGAGGTGTATTTTGGGAAATATTTAATTTATTTTTTGTTGATGTAAGCAATTGCTGTTAGTCTTCCTAACATTTGTCAGGGGGAGATAGTTTGGCTGTTATAAGTTCCAAATGTCAAGAGATTCAGGTGTCATTTTCGCAATTTGAGGGGGGGGGGGTGTTTATATGATTTTTCCAGATGTTAACAGCTACATGTGAAATTTACCCAAATGTTTTAGCAGTAGAATAATTTTGTTGATGATTGCAGGTGGCTAGCTTCGTATCCCTACAAGTCTATTGGTCATTCTTGCTAGAATCAATTTATATTTTCATTTTCTTCTTTTATCGCGCCATTCAATGTACATTCGACATTTGTGAAGTTGTTTGAAACTGCAGTTATGGGACATTGTAAAGTCCATTGGAATTGGCAGTTTTTCATTTGGCAAGAGCTCTTGTTCTTTTTGGCATAGCATTTAATTTTTGATGCTATTTTGCTATGTAAAATGTATCCCAGGATTGATGAAGAACAGACACCAGAGGATGCTGAAGATGGCCCCTCAGAGTTGCTCTTCATTCATGGTGGCCATACAAGTAAAATTTCGGATTTCTCGTGGAATCCTTGTGAAGATTGGGTTGTTGCGAGTGTAGCTGAGGATAACATACTGCAAATCTGGCAGATGGCAGAGAACATCTACCATGATGATGATGATTTACCTGGAGATGACTCCACCAAAGGTTGAAGGAACCAGAAATTACAGGGAAATAGAGAAAGGGAAAGCATCTAGGAGTTTTTTCTCTCATTTCCTTCTTTCTTCCACCTTTTGTATCAATGAGTTTGTGGTTTGATTTATTTTTTTTATTCAACTACTGTTATAATTCAGTTTTTGGTTGATTGAGCTGCACAATAGGCAAATTGGGTTCCCTGTGTGAGCAGAGCGAACACTTACACAAAATTGGTTACCATGCATGCTGCCTCACCATGACCTGTCCCGGCCGGGCTGGGTTTGGATCAACAAGATTTTCTCTTTTTACCAAACTTTTTTCTTTTTACTAAAATTTTATTTGGCCCGGTGTATGTTATGGGTTGAACTAAACAAATTTGAATTCAGATTATACTTATTCTTCCAAATAAAATTAAAATTTTTTGTCGGTTGACTTTTGGAATTTGGTGCCGTTTTGCCAAGAGTTTGTTTACATTCCAGAAATGTCTTTCGACACTGTTCTTTGAACATTAGTGTCTCTTCAATGGGAAGAGATACAAGAGGGTCTGTAAAAGCATTTCCTTAATTTAGTTTTTAGTTGATTTAGCTGCACAATAGGCCCAGTCAGAAAAAAAAAGCTGCATAATAGGCAAGGTTGGGGACCTGGGCAAGTGAGGTATTTTTTTTTTTTGAACAGTATTTTTATGGGGAAGGGGGTGACGAGGTTCAAATCTGTAACAACTGTGATGGGTTACTCCAAATACAGCTAATATCTTGTTGGATAATTAGCAATACAGAAGGTCTGAAGGCTTTCTGTAATACTAAAAATTATGCATTGATTGTATAATATTTATAGTTTATGGAGATAGGTATGGTTTAATGGGATTATTTGATACTGAAAAATGTATTAATTGAATTGTCTGGTATTGACGGTAATGCAAAGAAGATAATGTTTTTGAACGAGAAAAAAATTGGAATGAATTTTATACCATTGGATCGTAGTAGGTAAAAATTGAATTAAACTTGACTATTGTTGTATTTTTATAAGTTCAGAATTTAATTTCTTAACTGTAATATTAAATAGACTACCAATAACTGTGTTTGAAGACACGATATAATATAAAATTCAAGCGTCCGAAAAATTAACCCCACTCTATCAAATAGTAATTTTTTTTCCTTTCTTTAATTATGTAATTTGAAATTAAATTTTACCCATTACTTTTTAAAACAATTATGCGTCAACAGTCTTGATTGACACGTGTAACACATTTTTTATTCCACAAACGCGAAATATTAATTACGCGTATTATTAATCACCCAGATATATAATAACTAAAAAAACCACATAGATGACATAAAGTCCAACTTTATTCTTCAAAGTGTCCAAATTCGTAATCAAAATCTAATTTTCTTCCTCAACATCAACATCGCACATTAACACTTTATATCATAACATATGTGTAATATGTGTATATTATTATATATGAATCACAAATTAATCAAATATTAAATAATTAAACTTATAATAAAAATGAATGATGTGATAAAAATGAATGGAAAAAAATATATAGAGATAAAATTCAAACCTCCAACTCCTTTATTAAATAGGGACAAGTCTATGATATCGAAAAAAAAAAATTTGATACTATATTGACATTTATCTCTTTTGCTTTTACCACTATTGTTATAACTTTTATTGTTATAAATAACCCATAAAAATTAAAAACAAAATCATTAAAGTAATAAAATTTATCAGTACCGTATGGATTTTTTTTTTTTTGGAATATCATAGTGAAGTCCATTAGATAGATGTTATGTTGATAAAAAGTATAACTAAATGATGTGATGGATACACGGAGAGAGGAATTGATTAAGGAAAATGTTATATTTACGAGAAAAATTTATCAAATCTTTTATATTAAATGATGTAACATAACCTTCGTAAATGAATATTAATGGGACCACCAAGTAGGGTGGTTTAGTGGGGGTATTGGATGTACTCCTCACATTGAGGTTGAGAGTTCGAGTCTTGAAGTCCCCATTGAGACTTGGTGGCTGACTGTTATCCTAACCTACCTATATTTGGTCCTGAGAGGTGTTTCAGGCGCGGTCAAAAGTCTTATAATTCCACTAGTGAAGGCCTATCGGGGTGGTCGCTGAACGCTCTTCCTTGCCCCCACCCCTTTTTCTCTCAACAAAAAAGAAAAGAAAAAAATATTAATGAGACTCGCTTATTTGATGATAAAAAATTATGACACATCATTTAGAACGAAGATTTGGTAAAAATAACATTATCCATTGATTAAGGTATACAATCGGAGTCATTAACTAAAGTTTTTAATTAGGCGCTTGATTTTTTTTTAAACTCTTGAATTACAACAAAATGAAATATTAAAATTTTGATTTCATGCTCATTTAAAGATTTTTATCTTTTTTTAATAAGATGTTCTGACTTGCATTGACTATTTTTCAAACTCAAATAATTATCGTCAGTAACCCAACGAATTTAAAAAAGTTATTGCGCATTCAACATTGTCACACTATCATCGTGTCATCATTTTCATTGGTGTAACCTTGCTCCCACCTCACAACTGAATACCAAGAATTTTAAAAAATTCTATGATACTAGTTAGGTTATAACAATCTATACAATAAAACAGTTAGGTGTTTGAAATTTTATTTCATATATATATTTTTTTTCAAAATCATCGAATCGCTAATTTTTATCACCTATTTAATTATTTAATATTTAATAATTTGTAGTTTAACATAATTTATATTTCATAAATTATCTATACACGATAGTATACACATGTTAAGAAAATTTATCAAATTACGCATTTTTGTCAATACTTTTTTAAAAAATATTGGATAAAAATAAATTTTAAATGATATAATCAAATAAATGAAGAAAAACAAATATTATTTAATATAGTGGGGATCAATTTTTCAGATACTAAAATTTTATGTTTTATTGTACCTTAAAGAACGGAGTTATGAGTAGTTACCCTATATGGGATATTTGATTTAGTATGCTCAAGAATCACGAATGGTTTGATATTTTGATGACAAAATGAGGGATCCAATGAGTTGAATTATTTTTTTATAAAACAAAACACTTATTTTGCTGAGTTTGGTGATTACTAGAACAAAACGAGTTAAATTACTAGTGATAAATTTCTATTTTGGAGGGATTAACCTCGTAAAATATCAAAAATAAAATATTGATCACGTAATATTTATATTTTGAATAATATATTTTTTTATTTTTTTTCTTAGTTACACAATTTAAAATTAAAATAAACAGAGAAAAAAATAAAGAGAAGTAAGGGAGAGAAAAAAAGAGAGGTAGGTGTGAATTAATGGAGTTATCTGACATTAAAGAGTCTGTTAGTTAAATTGTCTATAGAGGTATTAAAATATCACATGATTCGCTAACACGATATAAAATTAATGGGTTTGGGTCTTCATTAAATCACTCGTTTCGTAAATGAGTGAATTCGACACAACATGATTAATAAACGAATCAGGTATGAGTGAAGTCAATTAAAAAAAATATACAATACGACACGTTTATATATCGATTATATACGATCATATAACGATACGAACTCGATATGAAATATCTTGTTGAAGACAAATTAATAAACGAATCGTACATGAGTAGAATGTTTTTCAATATAAAAACACTAAGACCCGACATAAACACACCTCACTTTACACAATTGACAAACTTAGTTGTCTGACATTATGAATCGTATAGGGTCCATTTGGTTAGACAAAAAAAAATGGTGGAAAATGAAAATAATAGAAACTGAAGTGAAATAAAATAAAATGATAGAAAATATATTTTCATGCATGTATTTGGTTAGAATGAAAAAATTTACGATAAAATTTAAAAAACAATCATTATATTATTTAAAATAAATGAAAGTTATAAGAATTTTTTTATAATTGTCTAAATTATCCTTAATTATATTAAATTAGTCTAAAAAAGAAAATATTTATATAATTATAATTGAAAGTAAAAAAATTTTAAAAAATGGTTTGAAATCTAATTTTATGACAATCACCAACACAAATGTCTTTGGGCCAACCAAACACATAAAAAATTTATCTTTCTTGCATTTTTCCGCTAAACAAATGAACCCATAGAGAAAATTATGTTTTTGAGAGACTATTGAATTAAAGTAAATGAAAATTATGTCAATTTTAACTATTATTGTAATTTTATAAATTGAAATTTTAATTTTTTAATTATAATATTAGATTGATTCAACAAAAAAAAAATGTAATATTAAATAGATTTTTATTTCACAAGTCACCTCTGGAACTTAGACGATCCATCAACGTCATTGTCACACCCTCCCATGTGGAGATAGATTAAAAAAAGCTCACGTCACACTATGCATCCCACCCTCCACCTCACCGCGCGTGGGTGTTTCTTCTGCCTCCAGCATTAAGAATAACAATTTTTAACACCCTAATATGACTTGACCTAAATAGAAAATCCGTGTATTTAGATTGATTATTTTTTAATATAAATTAAAAGATAATAAAATTTGATGATGTACAAATTAACTTTGCACACTATCTATCAAGTGACTAACAATTAAAGCAGTAATTAAGAAGTGAGAGATGGAGACAAAAATAATTTATAGTGGTTCGGTCAACGTGATCTACATCTACTTTAAATGATTAGAGTCGCTGGGTATTTTATTACTTTAAATGCGTAGGTAGAGTGGGGAGTTACAAGCAGAGAGAGAGAGAGAGAATTTTGCTCGACTGAATGTGATGCCCCTAAATATTGGTGGAACTTACAATTTATAGTCACCCCATAACAGACTGGGGTGAGTTGTTACTAACCAATTCTAGTGGAAGAGATGATTTCTTATCAATGGAAGAAACAGTTACGGTGCTCTTCATGATATTCGGTCATAAGATGAGGTGGGTGTTGATTCTTTCCAAGACCTCATGGATGAGGCTCTTGGATAACCCTGCATGTTCCCTTGGTGATGTAACTCCTCGAACCTGATGAGCTTGACCTGACTTGGACTACCTTGGATTGGACTTGCTAGATCTCTTGGAATTGGACTATTAATTCAAATTGCTTTTCAACATGAATTGTGTCATTTGGCCCTGGTCCATCAAAATTTATCAATATGAATAATAAATAGATTGGATTAAAGGTTCTCTGAAAGCCGGTACAATTAATTAAACTTATTTGACAAAAAGTACATAGAACAAAATATGAGTTAAAAAGACATAAATGACCCTTAAAAATCTCTTATCTTTAATGCATCTTG